ATATATATATATATCAATCCTGCTGGTTCCGGTACAGCAGTTGGATACTCTCCTATATCCTTCACGAAGATTTTGCTAATTATATCTTTACATCTTTTCTATTCTTTTAAAGTATATTATTACAGGTTTTAGCTGCTGCTGGAGAATGGACACGTCTGATGGCTTACTGTGATCGTCATGAACTTGTTATGAAGCATATATTTTTTGCATATTTTTATGTAAATGCGCTGTTCAAAAAGAAATCATACAATGATATACTGAAATTAAAATTGGGTTCCGTGGTATGCCTTAAATTTTTTTGGTTTCTCTTTATCTTTTGAAGTACTGTTAGATTTTCAACAAAAAAATCTTTTTTTTTAAATTTAAATAATTTGACGATGCGGCAAAAATGTACAACGATATACTTCAGATGGATTCAGAATTTTTGAAGGATCGGTGTCAAGACCTTGTGATGTCTCTAATGCCTTACATGGTTGAACTTTCCAAGCCAAAAACTTTTGTTCCATGTTCTGATGAGATTGCTGTTCTTGATAAAATGTCAGAAGATCTACAGGTCCTTATTTGTTATATGTATTGAAAGTAATTTTAATCCTTTCGTTCTATGGGGTTGTGTTTAATTTTCCATTGCTGTAATTTTTTATCTACGTTGATAATTATCGTGTTATTTAGATTGAAGCAAGTCTGTTGCTTTTGCTAGGTAAAGCTTATTTGCTGACTCAGAATCGTCGCGCAGCATTCTGTTGTTTACAAGGAGCAGTTTATAAAGATGAATCATGTGTTGAAGCGTTTGAACTCATTCAAAAATATAGGCTGTATTCGAAACAACGATTTGAGGAGCTGATTGAAAAGTGTTTTTATCCAAATTGTGTTTCTTGATGACTTTTCTTAACTATTATCTTCAACCGTTAAGTTTTGAAATTTTTGAAGCCAATTGGAGGCTATTCAGTATCTATATTTCAATTTTTCATATATCGGGATTTCTAGGACATTAAAAAAACATTTTTTTAGATCTGGTGATAGAAGTAGCATTGTTGTAGCTCTTCGAAACTATTATTTCTTACAAGGAAACAAAAATGTAAGTATGTAGGGGATTTATTCATCTTGATATATGTTTTGTGGAAAGCAGTATTGGTTTCTTTGTTTACAGTTGAAGGTGGATTCTTCGCTAAAGGAAGTTTTAATGACAGATTTATCTATTCGCACTGCACAAGCGGCTTATTTATATCAGAGTGGCGATCTTATGGGAGTCTATGATATCACGAGTGAAATATTAAATGAGGCTGGCATGTTTCAGGTTTTCAAAATTTCACTTGTAAAAGTAGAATTCAGCAGAATAAAAAGTAGCAGTTATGATGACAGTTCTTAATCTTATCTTTCTTGTGTTTCACTAGATTCTCTTTAGTTTTTTCTTAATGTGAGTAATTATTTGTTATGTTATTTCAATATTACTTTTGGTTTATGCCTCGGTCTTTTTAATATACTTATATCTTGTTGGTAGTAGCTCAAATTTTCAAAATTTAGGATTGTTTATTAATACATATCGCAGCTTTGGTGCAGCTACAGAAGTTTGAAATTCTTTTCATGCTTGCTCATCAACTAGTTGATAGCCAGCCAGATAATGAAATTTGTTGGTATGCTGTTGGTTGTTATTACTACTGCATCAAACAGTTGGGAGCGGCGAAAAATTTTTTCAGTAAAATTTTTTTCAAGCTTCGTTTTCGTCATCAAAAGTTAACTCCTTATAAAATCTTATATCTTATGAGTAGTGCTAGAAAGAATGTTTATCTGCACTTTGTAACGATAGCTACTAGAAATAGCAGCTAGCTTACATCTCAATTTTTTAGACAAATGCACATCTATGAATAGCGCTTTTGGTGAAGGATGGTTAGCGTACGGACATGCATTAACTGCAGAATCAGAACATGAACAAGCAATGAATTGTTACTTGAGAGTGAGCCACTTAAAGTACATCAGAATGATTTTTTGAAAATTTTTTTCCATTTTGCGCTGTTCAAAAGAAATACTAGTATTAAATGCGTATTTTTTGAATTCACGATCAGATATGCAAGCTTTACTTTTTCTTTTAAATTTATATAGGTAGGTAATGATTTAATGAAGAAGCTTAGGTCTGAATTGTCATTTTATAGGCATCGCGTGTATTAGAAGGTAGTTTTGAACCACTAATGTATATAGGTCTGGAATATGCTTATGCGAATAATACAAAACTTGCTCAAGATTTTCTAAAAGATGCAGCAGAAATAGCTGGAGATAATGCACTTGTGCTTCATGAACAAGGCTGTATATACTATATGAAAAAGGAATGGAAAAGTGTGTTTGTTAAATTTGATTTTGGTTAAATTTTTTAATGAATAATCTTTTATAAAAATATCTCCACATACTTTTAATGATTTAGACTATTGTGGTGATGGTTTAATAAATATTAATTTGGTTTGTATTCAAAAAATGATGTACTAACTTTAGTTTTTTGCCTTGAATCACTTATGTTATCCTTGCATTAATGTTTATCCCAGATGCCGAGGCTTCTTTCACGAAGGCATTGTTCTTAGCTTACAATGAAACAGACGAGCATGTTAAGCCATGTGATTTATTACATCGATCGCTCAGCGAATTTTGGGAACCACTGGTCAACAATTTGGGACATGTCAAATGCAAATTAGGATTATATGCGGAGTCTATAAAATTTCACCAGTTAGTTTTCTGGAATGTTTCGCTCTTTCTTATTTTTATGACTTCTGATAGTAATCTTTGCTTTGTTTTTGCCAAATGTTCTGCAATTTTGGGAGTTTCTGACATTAATCATTATTGTGACTAATAATGAATTCTTTACTCAAAGCTGTGCACTTTATTCATGTTAGCATTACAGCAGTCCACAATTTTAATTCGATATTAAAGCTTCTATTTAAATTGTAGAAAAGCATTGTTGTTGTGTCCAGAAAAGGTGGGTCCGAATGCCGGACTTGCAATTGCAGCAAGTCATGCAGGAAAAATTGATCGAGCTGTTTATTATTTCCATAAAGCGCTTGGAATAGATCCACATAATAAGGTATACATTCTTTAAAGTATTAAAGTTCAGTTCCTGCAACATTAGATTGCAAATAAAAGACATATCTTGATAAATATGGATGAAAGCTTGTTTTCATCTAAGCATTTGTTTATGAGCTGATCAGAAACTTTGGCACTTAGGGATAAATTTTTTGTAACAATTTTCTGCCATTGTGTCGGGCTACTTTCCTTGATTTTGTCTAAATTATCTTTCTGCTTTGTTTAATCTACTTATTTGTTTTCTTCATGTCGGAAAAATTATTGTTCTATTTTTTATATGTTACTTCCTTGATTCTCCAGTATTTGCATGCATGTGCAAGGTGCTGCCTATATAGCACAATCACATTCTTTAAATTTCCATATTGATGAATTTTACCTCTATTGTTCTTGCAAAAAAGTTTTGATCAAAAAAAGCTAAAATCCATTTAATATATATTCAGTGTAAATAGTAACGTTTCTAACAAGCTTTCATGCAATATAGTTTTAGTTTGAACGCATATTGGTGTTTGCGGACTTTTTTTATTTTGGAAATACTGATTACCAGTCATCGTTTTTTAAGGTTCTAGATCAAGGACTTCATCAACTTATGCAGTTTTTAGGCACGCACATGAACTTCTTAGCAATGTGTAACAAAGTGTCAATGATGGCCAGCGGAGTATGTTTTACTTATTAAATTTTAAAAAAAATCCTGGTTCCATATTTCTTATCTTTCATGATAATTTTTGCAGTCATCAGAAAAATTTGTCGTGACGAGAGAGGATTTAGAAGGAAATGTGGAAGAAAAGCAAGCTCGAATAAGAGCACTTGATATTTTGAGAAGCAGGCGTTCAAAACACGATCCCGAAGACTTTGAAAGGTTTACATTTCTACTGTTTATAATTATGTATACTAACATTTTTGACTTATTTAATGTCACACGTTTTTTTATGTCATTCATAATAAGAAATTGACTGTGGAATTGTTGACTTTGAGCCTTTTTTTTTGTAGTGTTGCGAAGGAGCACTTATTATCTGCTCAAACTTTATTTTTTTTCGTACATGCTATAATTTATGTCAAATAAATTTGCGGGAATCAGAGGTGCTTGTAAAACCATATTCAAGAAATAGGTATTGAATTCAGGTATTTTTGAGCTCTTATTTTTGTTTAACATCTGATCAAATTTTTCAGGTCAGAACCACGAATGAAAACTGCACATGATAATTCGATTGATGTTGAAATGATATAGAACCTATATGCTGATGAATTTGTTTTTTGTTTTGACTTAGAACAGATGTTTATTGAAATTGTAATTGTTTTTGGCCAAAAAGTAAATAATAAGCAATGAGCTGGAATCTGGACATGAATTTGATCAAAAAAGTTTTGGAAATCACATATTTGAATTTGTGAAGCAGATATTTCCTGCAAACAATATTTTTTCAGAAGTAATTTTAAGTACGTAGTCTTTTTTAAATATCTTGTTTCGAAGCGGTAGGACTTGGTACAAGTATGATTTTTGCTATGTAGACTTATTTTTCCAGGCAGTTCTGTTCATCTCATGGCATATTTTGATTTGCTAGTTTAAATACTTGGTTGTAAAATGAAGTAAACATTCCTCAAATAGAAAAAGTTAAATTTAGTACAAGTCACTCAAGAAAATGTAAGTATGAAAAGAGCATAATTTGCATAAGCGGTTATTTTTGATGCTGTGTTCATAATATAATAACTTCTCGTATGAAATACTTGTTTGCATGTAGAATATCCCAGAATGACATGGATATATTTGACTGTATCTACAATAGTTGAAAATTCCGCTCTCTTGTTAAATATCAGTAAATTTATGTGGCACATGTCAGAGATCCTTTTTATCATTATATTTAAAATGGTAAAGTCATTTGAGAAAATTATATTCGTTTTATTCTTGCTTTTATGCATAATGCACATATAATTTGCTAAATGTCAACAAAACAAGACTACGGTTGAGGGTTCTTTCTCAATATCTAAGTTTTCTTAATATCATATCATGACAGGATTTGGAAATTCACATTACTTCTGTGCTAAGTTTCTTAAGGTGTAAATTTGTGCTGGAGTATTTTTGTAATAATTATCAGTAATCGTGAGGAAAGTTGGGACTTGCATTTTTAAAAGACCGGAGGTCATTTTTTGCATGCTTATGGATTTGATTTGATTTATAATCTGGTTAGTTATGTTGTGTTTGAATAATTCAAATAAATAAATAACAGTTTTAAGAAACATTATGCTATGACTTAAATTAGAGAGGAAAAGTAAGCGTGGTTGTAGATGCTGAGAATGGATATTGGAGATCGTTTTCACGCCACAAAAGTTTTGTTTTAAGCAAATTACTGTCAAGTGATATGTCAAAATTTTAGGAACTAAGAGATGTCTCGATGTTTGTCGTACTCAAATGCAAGTAATATATACCGAAAAGGCTTTTGTTCAACATCATGTTTTGCTACAGCTGCAGTGCAGGCAAAAACATTTTCAAGACCTGACAAACCGAATATCGTTCTTGTAGATGCGGTACGTACACCATTTGTGCAGTCAGGGACGGTATTCAAAAATATGATGGCTTATGATTTACAACGTTCTGCTTTGCTTGGTATTTTCTCATTATGTAATTGTAGAATAGTGATTCGATGATAATTAAAATGTAGGTTCATATATTGTAATAATTTAAAGGCTGGTAATTTCATATGTATAGATAAAGATAAACATGTTCAAAATATTACTATCATTATTTTATTTCCGAAATTTTGCATCAAAATGAATACATTTTATTTCAAGAATTTGAAAATTTTAAGCAGTTTTACCTGCATTGTTTACAGCATTGGTCGACCGAACAAAAGTAAATATAAATGATGTTGGCCATATTGTTTGTGGTACTGTGATACAAGAATGTAAAACGAGTAATGTCGCACGCGAAGCTGCTTTAACAGCTGGTTTTTCTGATAAAGTCTATTTTATTCAATAGTGTGATATTGTAATTTTTCATTTTATATTTTCTTACACAGCTTCAAGCACGATATGTCGTATTACAGAGTCTGAAAAGAAGCATTGCAAGTTATTAAGTACTTGTCAAATTTTTTGATAGATCATATATTGTCGAAAAAAGTTCTTTATCTCAATCTCACTGCTTTATTTGGGAAGTTTTCTTTCATTATTTATAATTTAGTGTAATATTCTAATGGTTTTTTCAAATCAAAAATCTAAACTATTCCTCATAACTCACACTTTGTTTATAAATGAAATTAAGATACCAGCCCATACAGTTACATTGGCTTGTATTTCTTCAAATGTTGCAATCACAAATATTATGAATCTTCTCGCTACTGGATATTGCAATGTGGGTATTGCTGGTGGCGTTGAGTTACTTTCCGATGTGCCTATCCGTTACAACCGGAAAGTATGTTTATTTCTGTAATTTTTCAATCTGCATGATTTTTGTTCCAGCTTTCATGTTCTTTGAAATGTGGATAATTTAACAACAGTTTCTAGATTTGTTTCAATATTCATAAACTACCATGTTTTGAAATAATTCACTTATTTTTCAGGCTCGTTCAGCCATGTTGTCTTTAAACAAAGCTAAAAAAGTTTCTGAAAAGCTGAAAGTTCTGAAAGATGTTGCTATTAATTTATTTACACCAGAATTACCAGCTGTTGCTGAATTCACTTCTGGTGAAACCATGGGTCATAGTGGTGATAGATTGGCAGCCGCATTTGGTGTAACTAGACGGTGAGTAATGTTGGTTAGTTGGTGTTGAAGCAGAAATTTTAATTGTGGAACATTTTTCACTGCATGATTTGGAGGGGTTTTAAACTGATATAAAGATAATTTTTTCTTTACATAGTGAAAGTACTATGGTCGGAACTTGAGGTTATCTGAAAATTAACTTTTTTTATTACCGAGAATTTTAGTGAACAGGATGAATTTGCTCTTCGTTCGCATGCACTTGCTGATCGAGCTATAAAAAATAATCTTTTATCAGATGTTATATCAGTTTTTGTTCCTGGTAGAAAACCAGCTATTGTTCATAAAGATAATGGTATTCGTACTTCGTCGTTAGAAAAACTGTCACAATTAAAACCAAGTTTTGTAAAACTGCATGGGACCATTACTGCTGGTTTGTTTAAAATTAAATCAAATAAAAAGTATCTTTGTAAAAAAAACCTAAAAAGTTTAAAAAGTCATGTTATGACTCCAGTTATTAATCCAGTTTTCCTTCCTATTTCAGTGGCTTTCTATTAATTCAGACAAATCAATCAGGTAAATGTAAATGAATTTTTTGTCATGGCTTCTAAAAGCTGAAAAATTATAGTTTGGGAAAACTAATAATGAGCATAAGCGTTTTTAATAGGATTTTCATTTGAATTCATATCATCTACGCTGGTTTTCTTAGATACATCGTTAAGATTCAGTATTAGTCGATTTATTGGAATATTTTGCTTGAAGTGCAACATAATTCACTAGTCAACTTTTGTTAATTTCGTCCTCGTATTTTTGAATTAATGTCTTGTTTGCAGTCAAAAATAAAACCGAATTATTCGTAATAATGACAATTATTATTTGCGGTATTAATGATTTTGTCAACTTATCCTTAGTTATCGAATTAAAAATAATTATTTTACCGCCCTCTCAGATGTTATCTTGAACTAATTGTTTCACGTCACTGATGTGTTGATCATGTGTTATTTTTTCTAGTATTATTAGTATAAGTTGCAGGTAATTCTTCGTTTCTCACTGATGGTGCTTCTGCTTCACTTATTATGACGGAAGACTATGCATTAAAAAAAGGTTATAAACCAAAAGCTTATTTACGAGATTTTCAATATGTTGCACAAGATCCCACGGACCAGCTTCTACTTTCCCCAGCTTACGCTATTCCAACTTTGTTAGAAAAGGTTTCAGTAACATTGTGAATAAGTTTTTTTATTTGTATTTTATTTTCATTGTGTTCACCACTTTGTTCTTGTGATGTTTCATCTTATAAATTTAGGTCGGGCTAACTTTAAATGATATTGATGTTTTTGAAATTCATGAAGCTTTTGCTGGACAGATTCTGGCGAATTTAAATGCAATGGATTCCGATTATTTTTGCAAAGTACTATCTTTGTTTCTCACTTTTCTTAGTAGGCTGAAGCATGCAATATTGTTTTCTGTGTTAATATTGAAAAAATTTGTAGGAAATGTTGAAGCGATCATCAAAATATGGACGAATACCAGAAGAAAAGTTGAATACTTGGGGTGGTAGCATTGCGCTTGGACATCCATTTGGTGCTACTGGCGTACGTCTAGTTTCCCATGCAGCAAATCGTCTCCAGCACGAACAAAGTACAAATTTTTCATTTTTCGGTCTCCGTAACTTTTCAACCTTTAATTGTGTTTCTCTTTAATTCGAGCGTTGTCAAAAAATTATTGTTTGAAAATCCTTTGAGACGTTAGAATAGGCCAGAATTGATGCAGTTGAATCAACTTTGATTAATTTTTTATACACAGTCAGTCATCAGCAAATTTGAAACAATATTGAGATGAATGAAAATTTAAAGGTACGTCAAATGATGTTATCCAGATGCAGATTATGCTTTACTATGTATGCAAACTATGTTCCCAATTATATTACAGAACATTTGGCAGTAGTATCAGGTTGCGCTTCAGGGGGACATGGCATTGCAATGTTAATTGAAAATTATGCAAAATAACTCTTCCATTTACTTCCGATTGTATTTAAATGCTTTTGACAGTGCTCCTCAACTTATTCTGTGATATAAACATATTGCTTGCAGTTTCATTGCATTCAAAAAGTACCAGGGAAGAATTTGTAATAAGCACAAGCCTATGTGAAGACTCCATGTACTTAGTACATGTGACTTGCTTAAAGATATATTAAATAATTAAAAGTATAGTTTTTTACAGTAAGCAAGATTTTGATCTGGTTTCTCCGTCAGTCATTCCTTAACGAAAACCTGAAAGACAATTTTTTAAAGACGGTTTTCTCTAAAAGAAAGCGAATCACAATAGTGGCATAAAATATAAATAGAATATGTGTATGTGTATGTGTACTAGTTTGATAGAGAAAGATGCAAGTTTTTTTGAAGTCTACCAACAAACTGCTTTTTCAGTATTAGACATTACTGGCTGCCTGAATCACAAGACATTATTTGCATATTGCATAGCAGATATTTGCATAAATTGAACGACATTGCTAATTTGCATAAAACCCTACCGCCTCGATAATGCACTTTTGTTGAATTAATCTTTCACACATGTGATCGTTGAAACATTTTCTTTCTCTTATTATTGTTACGACTGTGATATACTACTTACTGTTATTCTATGATAAGAATATTCATTTCATTACAAAAGTTGGGTCATTTTTTTGAAAATGGAATCAGCTTACGGTAAGTAGCAATTTAGACCGTTCCATGCAACAAAACGTTTTCCAGCTAAGCATCAGTATACATCATATACTGAAGGCTAAGAGATGGACAAAGAAGTGAAGATATGATTACGTAAGTTGGTATCCATCCTAGGACCAATTTCAGACTAGCAGACATGCCCAAGAATAAATCGATTGTAGACATATTGATTGGCTGGGCTTTCGTTTTCTATTACTTTAGTCCTCTATTTGGTCTTGAGAAGCTGTCCGGAAATTCCTTTCTCATTATTTATTTCATACTTAGTTTTTTATCGTTACTTTTTAAAGTAAGCTGACCTTTGACTAATTAAGTCTATTTTAGAATAAGACTAAGAGCAGTTCAAGTTATGACTTATTTTTTTTACCATTTATAGTATAAAGTAAAATAAGCAAACTACCGTTACTTTTTAGAGTACTATTTGTGCAAATCATTGAGATCAAATCTTTTAAGTAACATGTCGTAAACTTTGAAGGAAAGACGTTGTGAGACATCTGGAGGAATCAAATTTTTATCCCAGTTTATTATAAAATTAGTAATAACATTAATAATAATAATAGATAACAATATTAATAAATAATAATACTAATAGTGACAATAAAATTAGTAGTAATAATAATAATAATAACTATTACTATGATAATAATGGCAGTAATATGTAATTCTTTGCCGAGTATTCAAAGAAGAGAAAAATTGAAAAAGTAATGGTTTTTTGCAAAAAAGTCCTGTATTATTAAAAAGAAGTGGATTTTCTTTTTTGTAGTATTCAAACGATTTTGTATCAACTACAGTATTACTGCCATAAAATAAAATGAATAAATTTTTGATCAGTTGGAGAGTTAAAATTTTGAAGTACTTGCAGAATGCTGAATACGCAAATGAATCTTTGCGACAATTTGTTTTTATTTTCGTTTAAAGAAATTATTTTTTCATATAAAACGATTATTATTGTGCATATATGATAGATAGATAGAAAAGCATGTCAGAAATGTAAGTAATATCATCAGTTTTCTGCTTCACTCTAGCAAAAACTACATGTAATATTCAATTATTTTCTATTTATATATCTTAGAAAATATTTGAATTTTTAAACTTGTTATTTCAATTTTGAATTCGTATTTGTCAAATTATGCATATCATTTGTATTCTACATTGCTATTTTTATTTATTCATATAAATGAGTATTACTGACACTTCATCATTTAGAATAATCTTTTATTCACTGCAATTAGAAATTTAATAACAACTCTGTTTTTATTAAATAATTATTTCCTTTTTCAATTATCAGATTACAGATTACTGTTAAAGTGGTTGAATTTTATGCAATTTTAAAATTTGCTTGTTATACCTAACTTTTTAACATTTAGAAAACAAATCAAAAGTTAAATTTGAAGTTACAAAAACTGAAATAGTAAAAATTAGATAACCAGTGAATGAATTAATTTTTCTTCTATATCGATAAATCTCTCAATTGTCTTTAAAACAAATAACTAAATTTTTTCATTCTTATCTCCTACAGTTTTTAGTTGTCACTGTTGTATAATAATTGACTACTTGTTTTTAATTATTTATGTTAATAGAATTAAATCATCAATCTGCAATTAATTTGAATGCCACTAATAAATTATGACTTAAAGTACTTCATTTTTACTTGAAATCGTATTTTAGACTGCATTTTTGAAATAATTTTCTCAAATTAAATACATGTGTAAAAATTATTTTTAGTGATTATTCACTATTCGAAAATTATGATTTGAAGTAAAAATTGGAAAGCATCTGTGCAATTTTTGAAAATAAGATATTGCTTGTAAAAATGGCGTCTAAAAAACACAAAAATTTGAATAGAGTAAATTCATTGGTACATTTTGATATTTACATATATTTTCTTACACCATTAGATACACAAAAAAATTTATCAAAAAAAGCAAAATTATGATTTTTCAAAATGTATAGATATAATGAAGGATATATTTGCAACGTTAATCAAAACAACTCATAAAATTTAGTCATATCGATTTTGATTTGTTAAATACGTATTGTACTCAATGTAGACGAAATTGTACTTCAAATTTAAGCAGCAATGTAAGATGTATAACGATGGAAATGCTGAAAAACTAATAATAATAATAATAGGTTTAGGCATGTTAATGAACTTACATCTAAATACGATTTCAAATGAATATTACGTGCTTTGAGTCATAAATTATTCGTCTTCTAGCTTAATGTCAAGGTTCATGTTAAAATTTTTAATTAACGAAGTAGTAAATTGTAAGGATTTATTAGGGATGTTTGTTGATTAAATTAGCAAATTTTATGTCCCCTTTTGATCAGAACTAGCTTAATTTAGAGTTCATTTGCAAGCATAATGACGTCACTTATTACTGAAAGTTATATGCAAATGAGCTTTATCTTTTCAGAAATTATTTCCTTCTTATCTGCTCAAAGCATTCTTAATTTATTCAATTTCAGTTAATAATTACTGATTAGTAGTTATTAATCTTGTTTGCATTCATTACACTGTCTCTTAATTCAATAAATAACCATTTGCGCTTCATTTTCAACGTTTATCAGAGATCTAGAACTAATTTCGAGAAACCAGTATGAAAAAATCATCTAAGAAAAATACAAATTTTGTTCGATAATTATTTGTAGTTTAAATTGGTTGTAACTATCTGAAATATGTCTTAAGTCTAAGGCTAAAAAACCTTGCGTTTTGATAAATTACTTCATCAGAAGTAATATTAATTCGCAAATTTTAAATTTTACAGTGACACTTATTCAGTCTATTAGTTAGTGAATACTCAATATGTACAAATCAATCAATCAGTAATTCTGTAAGTAATTCAGTCGATCAATCAATCACTGTGTTAATTAGCCCCCCATTGCTTGATGGCAAATACGAATAAGCTTGCTTGGTGCTTACTTTTGCTTTGTGATGATGATTATTGCTGCTTGAAAAGTATTGAAATAAATTTTAGCAAATTTTGCTGGTGCCAATGAAAGAAATATTTTAAAAAATTGAAAAGAGAAAAACAAATTTTTATATTATTTTACATGAAATTTCTATTACTTTTTTTATATAAACAGGTCTTTATTTCAGTAATTAAAAATAATTTACAAATTTCTTAATATTATTTATTTATTTTTATTTTAATGTTTTTATTTCCCTCAATAAAATTTGTCAAAATTAATTCAAACTATTGAGTTTAACTTATTTAAAAGATATAAATCATTAAGTCTAAATTATTATTATTATTATTGTTATTAATAATTATCATTATTACTGCTATCACTGTTTTTTGGGAATAAAATAGTTTTAGCAATCATATTTACCTAATTATTTTTTAATACTTATTCATAAAAGTGATAGAAATTTGAACCATAATGTTGTCTATATTTGCTAATTCTTTCTCACTAACTATTAAATGTTAACCGGTCTATTGACAAACCATTCACATTTTATATTCAATAATCGTTTAAAAAATTCATTTAATTTTATTCAAAATTTTTAATCCTTTTTTTATTCATTTTTTACTCAAATAACCAATATCCATTACAAATTAAATGTGATTTCCAATGAATAGTAGGTATTTCAACGTCCACTTTCATGCATTTATTTTCACATTTATTATTATATTACTGGAATGTTTATTCTGACATAACTATAATTCACATTTTGTAAACTATTCTACAAAAATCCTTTAACATTTTTAAAGTATTTTAGTCACTGATTTTTTATTGACTCCATAAATCATACTGGTGCTTTTTAAAATGTAAGTTACTTGGATTAAGTAACTTTCTAGATATAAGTTAGTTTTTTTTTCTAAATTTACTTGAAAGAAACTGATTTCTTACCTGCAATAAAGTAGTTTTAAGAGTTGAGACTTTCGCAGCTTATTATTGACAGAAAGTATAAACCAAGTAATTATAACTCGATATCATTAATGTATTTATTTAAGGATCTTAACTGCTTGAGAAACTTTCAGTGATTTGTTCTGGAAACTAATAAGTAAAGTTAACCATGTATATTAATAAATTGTTTTATCATATTAAGCAAATTTAAATTTTAACATGAAAATCCAAAATGTAAACTAAATAAGTTGAAGTATGTCAAATGTTTTGACAAATTTTTATTGATAGATTGTTAATAGTCGTAGGTTTTCTTAAAATTCAAAGCTTTTTTAAGAAATTTTTTAGGTTCTATTTATTTTTGCATGTATCTTAAAGATATTTTAAAATAATTGAATATCTTTTCTTGAAACCTTTTAAAAATGAACAGTTGATAATTTATTCAAAATGTATCGATAATTTATTTAAATGGTTATTTGTTTGAAGCAATTACTTTTAATAAAAAGCGAAACAAATAGTAAAACATTTTTTATATTAACGATAATTTGAATAACCAATTAAGTCAATTTGAATGCCATTCAAATAATTTATTCAATCACAGAAATATAAGACGTTTAAGAAAGATAAATATTCACTTCAGCCAATATTGAGTGCTCAAGTCTTGTCGTCTACTGGTAAATTTAAACTTCTCTCACAGGTAAAAGTAATGATACAGAATAGAAATAAAATCATTCTTAAAAATCATTAATTCAGCTCACACTTCCTGAAATGAATGTATTCACTGCATAGGTTTTAGAATCACGCAGATTTTTATTATTCTTATAAAAAATAAAAATTGTTTCACAAAATATTTGCTTGATTCATGTTCTTAAAATTAGATCAAAATGGAAAATATTATTACTCAGTTAGAAATTTATTAATTATAATTTTTTTTGCAAATTTTTGCTCTTATTAAAAGTATGTCTGATTCAAATCAATGTATCTTTAATAAATTTTGCTTTTTTAAAACTTTCTGATAGTGTCAGGCATTTTATATTTTATAATGTTGAATTGGAATGCATTATTGCACCAAGTAAAATATCCAAACTTTTGTTTTCTTTAATTCTCAAAAACTATAAAATTATTAAAAGTATGCAAATATTTGCCAAATCTTTATTTTTAAATCTAAAAAGTGATTTTTAATTTTTCACTTTTTGCTAAAAAATTCATAACATTATAATTATTATATATAAATTTATTGGCTATTTGATATTTCTACGACAATAATTGCTACTAATCGCTTAAAGTAATAATAATTATTATAGAATAAGAAAATGCTTTAACCAGTTATTATTAGCAAATAATGAATAAAAAGTAGCCAAAAATAAAGTAAAAAGTAAGGCAGTGATTTTTTTATGAAAATGAGTGAACAAAAAGATTAGTTGCTAAGCTAAATTTGCAATTCAGAAGTGTTCGAGCAAAGAAAGATAGCTTTTTTGAAAGTTCAGAAGTGCTTACTTACTTAGTTATTTATTTACTCACTTTCTTCTTGCAGTGCTACTTACTTTAAGTGAGAACATTGATTACTAATTTGAGATCAATTTTTGAAAACATTTAAGACAATTATTTTCTTAAAAAATAATATAATTTTTTAAAATAACTATATCAAAAATTTTTTAATTTTTATTCATTCTTAAAGTTCTTAGAGGTAATATGGAATTTTATTCTTTTTTATACTATGTTCAATTGTATGCAATCGATTAAATTCAATTATGACTACATTGTGATTGATTAGTCGGTATTGATTATACTAAAGTGAAAATTGATCTGATCTTCAAATAATCAATGCTTTTTTGTGGCAACTGATGAAAAGTTAATTCAAGAAAATTCAATTTCAGAACTTTTTTCGCTACCATTTCCATTCTTTTTTAATATGTCTCGATATTTTTATAAAACTTGTTTCTATTTTCAGTAACGATTAATCTTTCTTTATTTTTAATATTTTCCGGAAGTTTAATTTGTAATTTGAATACGCTTTCGTCTTTTTCACTTTAAAAATTGGGTAATTTTATAAGCTAAATAATTCTGAATAAAATATATTGAAATCTATTTTAGCTTTAGAAATTTCAATATCTTCCAAGTATATCAAGTGTTATAATATAACATTTTAAAGCCTGAAGAATATATTTTGCCCTGTATATCAGAAATATGCAATATTGTACTTTCATGAATATAAAAAATTGCATAAATTTCCTCTTTTTCTGATAACTGATTATTTTTGAAAGCCATTTCAAAAAAGTATTTGCAGTCAGTTAGTTCGTAATTGGATGTAAAAGATTGGATGTAAATGCATTAAAATTATTCATTTTTTAAAGATATTTCAGGTATATCCAAAATTTAGCTGAAATATTATTAGAATGTTTTTATCTTTGATATAAATTATAACAGGTAAAATTGAATTTTAATAAAATTCGAGGAAAAAAATAAAAACTAGAAAAAATTTGAGTTCACTTTTTACACTATTTCTTTTTTATTTTATATCATTCAAAATGATAAAATATTGAAATGCGACAAAAATAGTTTTTTCATAGAATGTTTATTTAAGTTTTGCATTTTTGTACAACAATCTTTCATTTTCTATTGCTTCCTCATTTCTTTGTCAACAAAAGTAAGCGTAAAATTTTATTTGCATAACTTTTCTTGTAAAGGTAACAATTGGAAGTCAGTGCTTCATCATTACTTTTAGGAATACGAAAACTATCAATCTCACATATTCACACATAAAATTTAATTCATGCCTTTAATACTAAAATATAAATTATTAGTTAAACAAAATAACAATGTAATAAAGTGTTTATAATTATTAAATCTTACTGAATATAATTACTAAAATTTATAAAATCATTTTTGAGTTTCATTAAGAAAATTTAATTCCAAAATTTTTGATTTAACCGTATATATTTGGACCTGTTTATGCAAATTGTGGTTGCAATTGAACAGCAAAAGTTTGATCTGTTTAAATCCCTTATCAATTGATATTTTGTACAATAATGTAATTTACAGTCATTAAATCAAAAATTCAATAGTAACTATTGATGTTTACGTTTTCTAATTAATATAATCTACTTATTGATATGACATTGTGTTTGCGCTCCTCTGTCACTGTTTTGATTGAAATATTATTTAAATTATTTTTCATAATTTAAGAATTTTAGTTCTTCACTGGAAATAGGAATAAATGTGTTAAATAGACAATAATGACAATAATAGTTATTACGTTATTATTATTATTAATATATATTATTAATCGTCTCTTAATATTTATTATTTTTATCTGATAATAATAAATATTAAGAAACGATAGTTTAGGTCTTTCCATTTTTTCAGAAAATAAATGATCTTACTTGCTTCAAGTCAAACAGCTTTAAACTGGTTGTGTGATAAAAATTTAATTAAAAATGTAGACATTACTGAAAATAACTTTTTTCCATTAAGTGATTAATCTCAAAAATTTTGTAAATATCACTGCATTGAAGAATTTCAAGTATTACTAAGAAGTGTAATAAATAAATGACTGTAAGATCTTAACATTTATCATAGACAAAGTTTTATTAAATTTTCAAAAATTTTTTGATGAAATTATGCATATTTATTCTTTAAATTTGCATTTTAATAAAAGAGGTGCTATAAATTGCTCAATGCATTCTTATAAATCAGTATGTAATTAATAGTTTAGGTGTTAGAAGGCGTTATTCAATGAGTTGGCTTATTGAACTGCTTGAACTTAACAGTCCCGACCCCCGTCAACGATTGGAATTGGGTCAACAACTGCTTTTTCAACTGCAAATATCCAATCTCACATCTGATTCAAGAATCTTAAATGATTTCTGCGATCTGCTAGTTCAGTGGTTATCTGGATCAAATCATAAAGTGATTAATTATAAACTAATTATTCGTTAGCATGACTATTGTCTTCTCTGTCATTTAGAGGATAGACTGAATAAGACAATCCATAAGTGAGCTCATGACTAACTTGAAAAACTCATTGGTAACTATAGATTAAACGATTATTGATAAGTAAGTAGTCTAGAAGCTTACTTATAAAATTACTTTCATTGCTTCTGCAGTGAACTACAAAAATTAGGTAAATTAATAATACTGCAGTTCAAATTATCTCATTTGTGTTATTTGTTCAAATTGACAAAAAAAAAGGCAGTAATAATTTGCTCAAGTTTTTGTTGGTTTTTACATTGCCCAAATTGAATTAAATTCACTATGAACTAATGTTTACAATCCAAAATTAATCACAGGTAGCTTCATTAGCTGTAGAAATTATGGATAAAGCTGTCGAAGTGTCTGGGAACGTCTTTGGGTCTTATTTGTTAGAACGAATTACTGCTCTCGTAGATCGTTTAGGTGATGCCAAGCAAAACGTACGTGATGCTATGATTCATTTCCTTGCAAACTTTGCAAGGAAGGCACACCTTAGTCCACAAGTTAGTTCTTGCATTTTTGTCTCATTTCGCATTGTAATCTAACTATGCACGTCTTTATAATATTATAGAAGTGTAATTCTGTAGTACATCAATTTTTTCTTCTTTTACGTCTGATAATCTTTTTTTAGTAAAGTTTACTTTTAGCCAACTTGCTTCCTTACTTATAATTTCTTTCTTGTTTTTATCATAAGCACAATTCAGTGCTTGTTTGCAGAATATTTTGGATAAAATATCTTTTGGACTAAATCATCGCCAGTGGTTAATACGTATTGGTACGATGAATGTGATCAAAATAATAATCGAAGACTAGTAATTTTTTTACTTTAATTTTACTTTTAATTTTAATTATTTTAAATGTTGCAAAAAGCATGCACATTCATTATATAATATATTCATACAATGCATACTATTTACTGAACTTTGTTACCACAAAAATAAAAATTAATAAAGTTTGAAAGCTAAATATGTAAATATCAATTAGCAACATATTACAAATTAACTACAAAAATAAATAAATATTATCAGTATTAATTCAATTTATATTTAAGACTAATGTGAAGATTTTGAGTTCAATAATTTCTTTTCATAGGCAATTAATATTTCCATTTTAAATAAATTCAAATAAAAGTTCTCCGACTCAAAATTATTATATTTAACTCAAAATCACTTGTTTGCCAAGAAGTTCATCAACCTCAGAAAAATGTCTAAAAAGTTAACATTTTTTATGTTAATTGTTATTGTAAGTAAACGGTGCATCAATTTGTCATACACTGTCATATTGAAAATAATAAAAAAAAAGTCTTTGCTTACTTTTTCCGTTCTTCTTTTTGACCTCCAAAAATTTTTCGTTCATGCAAAATTAAATGCAAAAAACCACAAAATTATTTATTCCTTTGGGGAAACGTAAAGTTTAGCATAATTTCTACTTTAGGTAATTTAGTAATATATGAAATTAAAAAAGTATTAAAGTATTTAAATGATTTTTTTATCTGTAAATTATACTTATCTAAGATTTATATATGTAGCATATAAATCAATTAAATGATAACTAGTAAAAAAACATTATATATAAAGTAATGAATAAGTGTAGAGCAAATTTGTTAATAATTTTGTAAATATGCAAACAGAAGTACAGTAGTCAATTTTTGAAAATTTCAGTAAGCGTTCAGTAGAGCCTCAAATATCTCGAATGACCCCGAATATATGCAAATTAATGAATGACCCAAACATGGATGTTAGAGAGGTTGCAAGTCGTACTCTTGTCGCTGCTTTCCTAAATTTGAGCAATCAAATTTTAGAAATGATTCGTAGAAAGCAACTTATTTCGGAACCTCGGTAAGTATTGCTTTTAAGTGAAAGTAAGCAAGAATGTGTTCCGAATTTTAATTATGCAAAATTAAAATTTTAATGGTTAATAGGTAGAAAGATCACACGCTAACAAATGTAACAAATAATAATTGAATGCTAAATATAATTCTTATAAGACAGATACTAAAAAATCAAACATATTATACTGTTTAATTCTAATAATAATAATAAATTTTAATTTTGTTGATAACACTAAAAACGGTAGTAAAAGTGTTATTATGAGATTATAAATTGTTGAAAAAATATTTCTAAATCTTTCTTGAAAAAAAAAAAATTTTATCAAAAATTTGGCAATATGCCTAACATGTCAGCTTGAATAAAGCTCAATACAAAACCACTTTATATCTAAAGGACTAAGTATTTTCGATTTAGAAAGTATTCATTATTAGCACGAATAACTAATAACTAAGACACATGACCTCTTTAGGCAAATAATTTAATGAGTCTCTATTGAGTATTCAAAGAATAATTTGCATAAAAGTGACATAAAACTGAATAAAACAATTAGAAAGTGCAAGCTTTATTATTTCTTTGTTTAGAAATACTTTCGAAAGATGTTTCATGATTAATGAGGCTGAACTTATTTGGTTAAAATAAATTTATTGCTACAATTTTGGCGTGTAATAAGCTTAATTTTACGTAAGGGATTTTTCTTTGTTATATAAATGATATTAAATTGTTATTTTAAATGAGCAAATGGCAAATCATATATTAATTATATGGTAAGGATTATGTGGACGGAATAGTACGAATTGATATTTAGTGATAAGATAAATGAACTTGTGGTAAGAAGTTTCTTTTAATTCAAAGGTCATTGAGACCTTTTCCTCTCAATATTCAGGGATAATATCGCGGTATAACCAACCCTTCTTCCCATATATATACATATCACTACATTGAATAAACTGCTCAACTTGTTCGTTCCTTCCTCACTTTCCTCTTTCAGTTATTTCACTATATAATAATAGACAGTTATAATAATTCTTCCTTTCTATACTATACGGCGAATATTTAAAAAATAACAAAGAATTCAACAATGCTTTCAATAATTTTGATAAATTTTTTCACTTTCAAAAGTTTGAAAATTTAAAATGAAAGATTAAACAAGAAATTGACTTGGAAAATTTCATCAAAATTTGAGAGTTTCAAAGTTTTAATATAAGTTTCAAAATTGAAAACTTATATTCATTACGACTTAATCAATAATAATTTATAAATTATTCAATGATTGAAAAAATTTCTGTCAGGATTGTAATTATTTTCATTGATTGACAAAAAATATAGATCAAAAATCATTAAAAATGACTGATTTTGGAATAATGTTTGATTGGCTATTGCATTCTTCAAAGTAAATGTTATTTGACCCAAAATTATAAATAAGTAATGCTGTCAGTCCGTAAAAGGACAATTATGATAGCAAAGTCTTATTTATCAGTCTTATTTACTGCCCCCATTTGATAACTACGTGTTTATTTATGCATTAATATTTTGCTTTGTCAGTAGTTTTCATCACTAATTATGTAAAGGTTACCTCTCATTTTTTGCTAAATTTAAATTATTTTTATTTTAATTACTTTTATTTAATTTAGAAAATCAATATTAATCTTTTATACAAACAATTATTGCTGAAAAATAAATTTTTGATGCAACTTTCCATCTCTCAAAAATACCACATTATCGTACATATGCATAAATTAAATGTAAATTAATCATTCACTAATTACGTGGGCTTGAACTGTAAAAAGAGGCAAGACTATGTTTTAGTGAATTCTTACACGTGACTTAGTAGGAATATCTACACATGATATGCAGTTAAGGTGCTTTATCTTATAGTAGTTAATAAAAGTTAAAATCCTAACATTCATTTACAGTTTGAAAAGTAATTGCAGCTTGATTTTGTCTTACAGGCATTCATTTCATATTTTAAATGGAATTAGAGCAGATAAGTAAAACAACTAACCTGAATCATAATTATAATTCATTTAGAATTACTAGAAGTAAGCAAAAATGCTAATCAGCTTTTGTTGAACAAACATTTTCTAATTTGCATAATTTCTTACAAAAGTTAATCAAGATTAAGTAAATTGATAAACTCTAAAAAATCAGTTGAATCAACTTTTTAAAAGTCCTATTTTTTTAAAAATAAATGTCGTTTTCAAATTACTTCTACATATTAAAATATAAATAGCTTTCAATTTAATCCATTAATATACATTGATTTAGTTAGTAGTAATCTTTATTCCAGATTATTTATTTTTATAGTTTGAAAATTTGCGCATTATTCATTGCATTTGCTTCAATATTTATATTTATTCACTAAAATTATACAAAATTTATCATTAAAACATGAAAAACCAAAAAATTCTGCTTGCATAGTTAGCCAATTTAACAACAAATTACTTTTGTCTATTTTTTATAGTTTTGACAATTTTTTTCGAAAGCTAATTATAACTATAAAAGTAATATAAAAAGTTAATAATCTATTCATATTGAATGTTTTAGTTATTCCATTCATTCTAATAATTTTATAGGATAAATGTATTGAAATTTTGTAAAAAGATATACGAATTTATAATTAATATTTTCTTATCACGCGAAATACGTAAGAATTTCACTCTAATAATAAATAATGATATTATTTCATCAAATATGATAAGAAAAGGGATTGTTTACTTAAATTCAGGCTACAAATGCTGATGTCACGATTCTATGAAGCGCAACTAAACGGGCATCACACAGCTCGTAATGCATTAGTTATGTCTCAACGAATCGGAAGATCGTTACAAAAGCCAGAAGTACCTCAGAAACCATTCCTAACTCCCAGATGTAAGTTTTTAAATTATTAATCACGTGAGTCCTTGCGCTTTTGTGTGCAGTTGGAAGATCAGCGAATTAATCAAAAAATAAAATTTGTATAATTATATCTGAAGGAAGCCATAAAACTCAGAGACTTCAGCACAAAAAATTGGAAAGGTGTTAAGTTAAATCACTAACTCTTTAATTCACATTTACGTGTGAATTCGTAAAAAGGCTTGATGTACTGGCGGTTGACTAAGTGATTGAATCACTATTGAATGAAAGAATTCGATGAATATGAATTGAGTATGAAGATGAGATCAAATACCAAAAAATTTACCCAACGTAACTTTGATATTAAGGAAATAGGCTGAAATGAGAAATTAATTCGAATTTCAAGACTGAGAATGTGCATAAATTCAGCACTGAAACATCCTTTCAAATGATGTCAAATTTTATAGAACACAAAAGGTAAGGTTTACTAGTAGAAAATAAGTTTGCTTTTATTAGAATCAAGGATAAATATGTGTAGTTTTATAGTACTTGAGGGTTTACGTAGAAAAAAGATTTTGAGAATATTCATATCATACCACGTGACGTGATCTTGTCTTGACAAATCATCTTTTAATGCTTGAATTTATCATTAAATGCGTTTGGACAAAAATACTGCACTATTTCAATGTGGCACTAATAATGTGAATATATTTATGAAGAAATGAAATTATAAAGTAACTTTTTGTTAACATATTAAAAGAAAAATTTAAGATTTTAATTACGCGTAAAATTGAATTGTTTGCGTGTGGCTTTTCTTGCTCTGCGTGACCTACTCTTCTAATCACTCCTTGCGTACTTCTCGATTTTAATTAAATAATTTTGCTGCTTTTAACAACAATTCAAACTAATTTCATTAGTTTCTTTTCTTTTCTTTCATTATCTTTGTCCTTCACTATCACGATGTATTGCATATTACAAGGTTATATGAATACAAATTTGTAATGTGCCGGAAAAAAAATTCAAACTCAAAAAAAAGTGACATCTACAGGTTATTATAACGTGTATGCGTGAAATTCGCAAAAAATTTTTTGCAAAATAAAGTGTATTTTGAAATAGTTATTAAAATTTTTAAGAAGTAAAATAAAATATAATTCAAGTATTTTAGTACTTTTATTGCAATTTCCTTAGTAAATTTTTACATTCAAAAACTTTTTATTATTTACCCTTTAGCAAGCTTAAGTTAATTTGATTCTGTTTTATGAAAATCAGAAATTAATCATAAATCTTAGCTATCTGAGAAGACCCTAAGAAAATAAATAATTCGATATGTTACTTTTACATTTGCTATTATTCATAATTTTTCAATTCTCAATTTGTTTTTATGCATTAATAATTTCCACTATGAAATGAATTTTTTTTTAAAAAGTGAAAACAAATTTTGTCAAAAATAAAATTTTGTCTCCAAAAATGAAAACAATTTTGAAATTTTTCTCATAAATTTCCTGTTTTCAAATTGAGCACTATGTAATCAGGCAAGATTGTTTAGATTACTTTTCGCGGGAAAATCGAATGCCTTGCGTTGCGCTAAGCGTTGCGGTGTTGCATAAATTACTGCAGCACTATTGTGTCATTGCAGGTTGTATGGAGAGTATTATAGGTTAAGATTGAAAATGACTATTGATAAATTGTTGTGAGTAGAAGTAATGTATCGATTTAGATTTTTTGTTAAAAATTTTAAGTTTTACACCAAGATTTACTCTTTGTCATTGAAAATTTTATTTTTAAGTTGCAAAAAAAAGTATTTATTTCGTGCATTTATGACTTTGTGAAAATAGTTGATATATAGCTGTGAAATGAACGGTGTCATACAAGGTTTGTTGTGGTAAGACTGGAAGTGATTAACTAACAGTAGCCTGAAGATAGGAAGAAAAAATATTTTTATGTGAATTATTAAAAAAGTTTTAGTAAATGTAAATGAAGCAAGAATGATGTCATATAAAGCAAGTAATTGGATAATATTTATTGCTCTTCACCGTTTGGAATTAATTTGTTCAATCTTGAAAAAGGATTGAAATATTCATATCGGGCTTAGTTCCATAATTCTGTAATATGCATATCATTATCTTTCATTTAAATTCAAATTTATGTTTGGCTGGTAGTTCTATTTGCCTGATAATATGAAATCAAGGACCATAGTGAATAGACTAAGTGTAATAGACTAAATCAGATAAATACATGCAAAGATGTAATGACCGGTTTATAGAGTGCTAACCAAAGTTTCCTTAAAATATGAAACTACTAAAAATTTTTATATATTTTCGATAGTACTTAAAAACAATCTATAAAATTGCTGCTAAAAGTCAAATCAGTTTCAGGATGTAAATCAAGCAATTAATTTGTGTGAGAATTTCAAGTTATATCATCTGTGTATGTAATTGTTTCTCTTCAGGAGGGATTTCTTAAGTAGTGAAAATGTCATTTTACAGCAGTTTTCGTATGTTAAGAAAGCCTTTTGTAATCACTTCCCTTGATGGTAAGGTATTTCACTTATTATTGTATATGAG